CGGCCCCCGCCTGGTGCCTTCGGAGCCCTGCGCTCCCCGGCCACCCTCTGCGGGCTTTCCTTTGGAGCTGAGGAAGGGGAGTAGTGCAGCCGCCCAGCCCCAGCTCTCCCCGGGCGCAGCCCCGACGGGGCCGCGGCAGGCGCGGCGCGAGCCGACGGAGCCATGAGAGAGTACAAAGTGGTGGTGCTGGGCTCGGGCGGCGTGGGCAAGTCCGCGCTCACCGTGCAGTTCGTGACGGGCTCCTTCATCGAGAAGTACGACCCCACCATCGAGGACTTCTACCGCAAGGAGATCGAAGTGGACTCCTCGCCGTCGGTGCTGGAGATCCTGGACACGGCGGGCACCGAGCAGTTCGCGTCCATGCGGGACCTGTACATCAAGAACGGCCAGGGCTTCATTCTCGTCTACAGCCTTGTCAACCAGCAGAGCTTCCAGGACATCAAGCCCATGCGGGACCAGATCATCCGCGTGAAGCGGTACGAGCGCGTGCCCATGATCCTGGTGGGCAACAAGGTGGACCTGGAGGGCGAGCGCGAGGTCTCGTACGGCGAGGGCAAGGCTCTGGCCGAGGAGTGGAGCTGCCCCTTCATGGAGACGTCAGCCAAAAACAAAGCCTCGGTGGACGAGCTGTTCGCCGAGATCGTGCGGCAGATGAACTACGCGGCGCAGCCCAACGGGGACGAGGGCTGCTGCTCGGCCTGCGTGATCCTCTGAGGCGCCCGCGGTGGCCGCGCGCCGGCCGCGCTCTGCGCACAAAAGCCAAACGCACCCGACTCTCTAATGTGATTTCTCTTCTTGCTTTGAGATTGGAGACGACTTTGCATTGGCCAAGGTGTCCCGGGAGCCCGGCTGGCCTCCGCGGCCGGGGCCCCCTGCCTCCTCCCCTTGTCCGAGAGGTGTCCGGTTCTGACCATCCGAGCCCCCGGTGGAAATGTAGCCCTTTGCAGCGTGGACGTTTCTCATTGATTTTGGTCCCCGTTTAAGGCTTCGTTAGGGCGCTGCATTGGCAGCAAAAGTTCAGCCTGGGAAAAAAAAATGGGGGTGGGGTGGAGGAAGAGGATGGGGAGAATGGAGGAAAGGGAGGTCTTTTTTTTCTTTTTTTTTTTTTTGGTCAACAACCGTTTTGTAGTTCCAACTTTTAAATACATGGAAGGAAGTCCGGGAGAACCATATGAAGGAGCAGAAGAGGAAAAAACTTGTTTTGGTTTTTTCCCTTGTTTTCCAAGGAGGAGCTGGAAATTAAGATCGGGTTCCTTTTCTCCCAGCTTGGAAGGGCAACCCGGTGACTGGTTGTGATTCTGAGGATGTCTATGCAAAGTTGGATTCTTGTTACAGTGTGTCCAATCTGAAGTATTGCACATCTGAACTGGGACTGTTAACACTGATACCAATACAGTGTGGGGTGCCAGAAAGTGTCTGCTGATATTTGTGGAAAAAAAATCTATTTTGTTTACCTACTGTATCAAAGGAGAGTCTGGGGGGAGAATGGTAGTATTTTTTTTTTTTATCAGCTGTGAAAAAAATGTTACAGATCTGCACATTTTTGTGTACTATTGTGTGTGTGTGTGCTTTTTTTATTTTTTAGTTTCTTTTTGCTGTTTTTTGGTTGGCGGTAACAGATTTTGATGACTAGCTCTTTAAAATACAGTACAAAGACTTCCTAAGTGTGATTCAGGGCTCCCAGCACCCCTGTGTCTGCAGAGTGCCTTCAAAACTCAGCTGTTCCAGCCGGTGCCAACCTGTGAACCTCCCACTGTCACCCAGTATCTGCTCTTCCCCACTCCACTTCCCAGTTTCCTTCCAGCAATCTTCCTGAGGGAGCGGGACAATAAGGCCTGTTGTTCTCTGTTCGGTGAATTTCTTGATTATTTCCAGCCTTTAAAATGTAATTTTCATGGCTTGCAAATTTTATTTTTGTTTTGCTTTGTTTTGTTCAAATTTTCAGGTATTAGCTCCCTTTTTGTATTGTTTTATATTTTTTTTTTTTTGGTTTTCTGTTCTAGAGTGTTCCTCCAGAAGCCAAGAGCAAAATTTACTGTTGTGATGTACCAAGAGGATTCTAATTGTAATTTTTAATTCCAGACATGCATTTCATTGTTGTCTTTTCATTTTAAGACTTTTAATACAAGTGTCATTTTTAAGAAACAAACTCAAAACTATTGTTTGCGTTGCTTTGTTTCATGTTCAGTGACTTAATAATACAGTATCCTGGCTGAGGTAGACAGAGGCAGGTGAACCACGTTCCCAGGAGGTGTCCAATTTTGGAGTCAAAAGTGTCTCAGTGATATGTTCGGTGACTTTGTGCCCAACTCCTAAAATACGGAGACAATCATCAAATTCTAGAAAGCCCTGGGGTTGGGCCATCCCATCTGACCACACGATGGGCAGGTATATTGAATCTTCAGCTGACATGGAGCCATCTACCTCCTTGAAGGTAGGGAAGCAGAGAAACCCAACTGCTAATATTGCCTGAGGTCTGGGAAAGTAACCATCCATCTGGCAGGCTACCCATTCATTTATTTTTCTTTTCTTTTTGGTTGTTTTTTTTTTTTTTTTTTTTTGGTTTGTTTAAATTATGTCATACATCCAGTCAAAGTATGTGTGGGAAAGCTGGTTTCCAATTTCCAAATGAAGTCATATCTTACGGTGTCTTCTGCTGTACATGTGTCTGAGTTGTAGACAGGTGTATCAACCTTTTTGTGGGTTTTCATTTGGAAATACATCTTTAGGTTACAAAAAAAAAAAGGTGGACTAAGACAATTCTCTTGCTGTCATTTTATTCTGTGAATTTTGTGAAGCACGTTTGACCTCTTAAGTTTTTCTTTCTAGCAGCAGGAGGCAGTGTGAGCTTTTTGTTTTTTATTTTATTTTCCCTAAAGGGGTTTAATTTGTAATATAACCACTGCAGAATAAAAGAGAGGTGTCTGAGAATTTTATATATATATATATATTAGAAGCACATGATATGTACCTATATGTGAAATGTAGATCAAGTCTTCTGCAGGGTCTTTTGACAAAAGGACATGTTCCATTGACAAAGCCAAAATAAATTACAGGCCACAGGTTTCTTTAAAGCTGTATTAACGTACCATACCTTGCCTTAAAACGTTACGTTCTTGGGCTGAGTATTCTTAGTGTGAAGAGGACTATAGAATTTTGCCTGGGGTAGTCCTACAGCCACTTTTTTTTTTTTTTTTCCACTCTATCTCACTTACTTAATAGTGAACTTAACTGGAAGGCAATGTTACAAATATTCTAAATGTAGAAATGAGAAACTGCTCAAATTTATCCTTTGTGGCACTCATTCTTGAATTTACATAAATTTAGTTGCTTAAGTAGATCTAAAGTACTGAAAATTGTGAAGATGTGTATCAAGCATTTCCTGAAGGATTTTTTTTTTTTAAGACATTCGGTGACTTTCTTAGGCTGTGTTTTCGGAAGCCTTTTGACATAAAATGCTGCCAAGTATCTAATTTAAGAAATGTATATATTCCTGATGGAATGTTTGCAAATGGAAAATTGGAAATGAAATAGGTTGCTGGATGCATTCATCACCTTCGCACAGAATTTAGTCACTTGGATGACTAAATTCTTCATAGATCTGGGATGGCAGGGCAGAAGATTTTAATATGCTTTGACTGAGTACTGTGAAATAAATGCTTTTTGGATTCTCAGTGGAAGCAATTTTGCATGTGTGCCTGGAGCAGGAAAATAGTTCAGAGTTCCGTAGCCTTCTCCTTTATCTTCATGACATAATTGAGAGACATTAGTGATACTCCTTTTTTTTTTCTTCCTTAAAAAAATGTTTTTAAGAATATGTCAGTTTGTTTGGCTAGTAAGAACCCTTCTAGTCTTATGATGTGAAGAGATAAGAGCATTTGTTTCAAGGAAAAAGTTGAGCTGACTTAAGTGTTACAGGAAGTCAGTGAGGTGGGGAGGGCTTTGTTATAAGGCAATCACCTGTCAAAACAGACTGAGTGGGAAAGGAGACTTTATCTTGGGGAGCGAAAGCTGACTTTTAAACTTGACCCCTGCTGTCTTCTATCAGCTTTTCCTTTTGGTCCCTGACTGCCATCCAGGTTTTGTAACACACCAAAGTATTTTTTTTTTTTTTTTTTTTTTGGTAACAGGGTCAGAATGTACAAATCTTGGGTCTCTTAACATTTGGTTGGGAATTTGGATTCTTAGGTAAAGCAATTTCCACCTTGTTAGCTGCTGAAATAGACTTCATTGAATCATATTTTGAGATCACATCTATCTGGGGATAGAAATCTTTAAGCATGTGAGACTTCTTGCTTCCCAATTAGTTAACATTTCCTGCAGGTGAGAATCCTAGAGTGCTTCATCTATTTTGACTGTTGAGGTATTTTTATAAATGTTTTCACAGCGCGCGATTGCCCCTTTGAGTTATATTCTAGTATTTCTCACAGATGGGATGGGAAGGTGAAAGGAAGCTCTATGTAGCTGCTGGTCTTGAGAAATAGGTGCAAAATGCTTGCACCTTAAGTTTCATAAAAGCATATATTTTCACAACATCTGGAATAAACCCTGACATTGTAAATAGGAAAGAAACAGATTTTATTTGGATGTTACCACTGTTAATTAAAATGATACCAAGCATTTGTCACAACGCCTGTTTAACTGGGAAAAGCTTGCTAATATGAATTTTGTCTTGGTGAAAATGTAGGAAAATTGTAAATGCTACTAATAGAATGTGGTATTCTTGATTATAGTATTTTACTCAGACTACTAGGTGTGATTAATTACACTTAACTGATGATGGGCAGTTCTAGAAGATATATTTGATCCAATAACAATAGGAGTTTGATGGTTGGAGAAGGCCTTATTTAGGGTTCATCTAGTCCAGTGGTTCTCAAACTTGACCACGTATCAAATTCACCTAGAGGTTCAAACAAATTGCTGGGCCCCTCCACCAGAGTTTCCAGTGCAGAAGGTCTCGGGTAGGGTCTCTTTAATTTTCATCTCTAACAACTTCCCAGGTGATGTTGATGTTGCTGTTCCAGGTACCACACTTTTGAGAACCGCTGATTCAGTCCAAACTCCAAATGAGTAGTAGTACACTGAGAGCCAGCTAGATATTGAGGAACAGAAACTTTTAAGACCCACGTGACGTATTTAGAGTGCTATCTACCACACGGTCCAGATAATCTGATCTTGATTAGAATCTGCAGTTGAAGAGGACATGTTCCATTTATACAGACTATTAGATGGTAAAGTGTGACATGGGATAGACACGTTGCAGATTGTTTTTGACCATTTTCACATTATCACGTGAACAGTTTTGGCTGTGGCTTCAGTGTTAATTCAGAAGTTGACTTAAATGAGAAAATAATCTTGATTAGAACAGGTATGGCCTAAATAATCAAAATCAACGTCACCACCCCCGCAAAAATTTTGAAAGGTAAATCTTTGTTAAAAGAACACTTTTATGTATTTGTGTCTTCTCTTTACTTCCAGATTAAAAGGTAAGCATTTTAACTTTTCATGCTTCCTAGCAAGGATTTTAGGAGCCCTGGTGGTGCAGTGGTTAACAGCTCAGCTGCTAAACAAAAGGTTGGCAGTTTGAATCCTTGAGCCGCTCCTTGGAAACCCTATGGGGCTGTTCTTCTCTGTCTGACAGGGTTGCTATGAGTTGGAATTGACTTGACGGCAACGGGCTTGGCTACCATGGATTGTAAAAGCGCTTGTGAGGGAGGAGCCTTGGTGGCACAGTGATTAAGAGCTCAGGCTGTTGACCAAAAGGTCAGCAGTTCAAATCCACCAGCCGCTCCTTGGAAACCCTATGAGGCTGTCCTACTCTGTCCTATAGAGTCGCTATGAGTCAGAATTGACTTGACAGCAGTGGGTTTGGTTTTGTTTTTTTGTGTGAGAGAATTTAAACTTTAGGTCATGGTAGACACATGTGTATGACGTTTTGGTTAGCAAGCAGTGCGTAACCACTCTACCCCCAGGGCTCCTGTGTTATGTGTGTATGTAAATATACTAAACAGTTTCTTAGCCAGATGTCCAGGTGTTAGTCAATTCCGTCTCACATGGTTCTACTGCTGCTCTTCTGGGCAAATGCACACCCCCAAACTGCCATGCATCACGTTTTGTTGCGTGGCTTCATTCCACGGGAAGTTCCCAGAACTCGAGGCTAAAGATCTGGGTTTTAAAGGTAGTCTGGATCTGAAGGCTTCTAAATAAACAGAGTAGTGATTTAATTACAAACAGTGGAGTAGCGTGTTTCAAAGTTCTCTTGCAGTTCAGAGAGCCGAGTACCAGTTTATAGGCTGAGGAGTAACAGGTATTAGTTGGGTGTCAAGAATAACCTGACCATGTGGGGGGCTTTACTGGTTTTTAATATTTTCTGGACTTGGGTTATTATGTTTACATTCACCCCAATAATAATAATGATAATACAATAAATATTCTTGGTGAAAGTATTTTCTTTTCCCACCTTATTATTGCTGCTGTTGTCATTTTCATAGTACCAGTCCGTAGCTCACTTTAGTAGCTTAATAACTATTTGCTGAATGAATGAAACATGGATTGGTAAATAAGTCTGAAAGTATCCTAAGAGAACCTGAAAGATGTTGATTGAGAGTGGTCTGTTTTGTCACCCCAACCCATGATACCTTTATTAAGATGGTCTTTGGGATGATGTCTTTCATTGATATTACACCAAAAACAAAGGACATTGGTCTTTTTTTTCCTCTTAAATTTAATTTTCCCGTCTGGTAAAAGAACATTGCTATATGTTGTCTGAGTCTAAGGTTCACTTCAAAAAGTTACGAACATTTGTGACTGATATTTGAGATCTATGGTAGTCTTATGGGGCTCCTTATTAAAAAAGCTATTGCTTGTGAGAGTATAATGGAACTCGCTTAGGTATAATATTTTTACCTTGGCTTGGTTTTATGATTACTTCTACTACTTTAGTTTGGATGTCTACTTGATTTTAAGCTATTTGAATTTTAGGATTATATTTATTTTGGAATAATATATTTTAAAAGTGTCTTACATTTTGAAGTTACTTGTCTAACACAGTTGGGCACAGTGAACAGTTCATTCTACTACTGGTTAAGATTCATTAGAACGGAACTAGTTTGCATTAAGAAAATGAAAGAATAATGGAATGACAGTTTACAGCCTTAAGTAATAGAGTTGTTTGTCTTGAGAAGCAGAAGTAGCTAACTAATATAGACAAAAAGAACAAAATGGCCTTACGGTTTTTGGAACTGTGAGTGTTGATCTTTTTGTATATTGGAGGGAAGCAAGCTATTTGTGTTCTTCCTTTGGAAGTAAACAGAAGTTGTTGAAGAAATGTTTTTTCTTAGAATAATTGGGTAGGAATTATATGCTTTCTTGTCCAATTAACTACACTTACTGTTTCTTAAGGTGAATTATCTTGCAAAATTCTGTGAGGCTAAGTTTTTCAGAGGCTTGAAAATCCGTGATTGGTTGATTTGTGGCAACTGTGAAACATTTCACGTGTTGCTAAAATGTTTTAAAAAGTAAAAAAGAGAGATTTTTGATGCACTGGGAATATAGGTACATAAAAAAATGCCTGAGATTGTTCCTGGATTGTTAAGAATATGGTTACAGTTGAAGTTAGTAAACATAGCTGATGCTTGTTCTTTCATTATGCAGCAAACATTTCTTGAGCGTATACTAGGAGCTGTGGTGTTAGGTCTGGGGCTTAAATGAGGGAATCACGCAAATAGCACGAAGTCTGCGCTTTCTTCACTGTAACGAAGACAATGGCATATATTAAAACAATAGATACATATGAAAGACTGCATCTACATCTGTCCTTTGTTGTAACGCTGGGGTCTGTCTGGCAAGCAACAGAGTAGATAAATTTGTTGAAAAACTGGGCCTTTTCTTTGAAAGGTATAAGGATATTGTAAATAAAAATGGATCCTGTGGGGTTCAAAAGGAGCCCTGGTGGCGCAGTGGTTAAGTGCTCAGCTGCTCATCAAAAGGTCAGTGGTTCAAACCCACCAGCTGCTCCACAAGAGAAAGATGTGGCAGGCTGCTCCTGTAAAGATGACAGCCTTGGAAACCCTATGGGGCAATTCTACTCTCCTGTGGGGTTGCTATGAGTTGAAATCAACTTGACAGCAACAAGTCTGGTTTTTTTTATTTTTTATGAGATTCAGGTAGCTAATATACTTTTTGTTCCATGTGGAGCTGTGTAAAGGTCAGACTGTTGTCATTTCATTTAAGTTTGTGTTTCCAAAAAAAAAAAATCTGTTGCCGTTCAGTCAATTCCGACTTATAGTGACCCTATAGTTTACGATTAGCTAAAATTAAGTGCTTACAAATAGAAGATTAGTTTGCCCTCATGTTTTCCTGTCAAGGGGAAAGATGGGGAAAAAGACTCATTAAACTTACACACTGAGTCATATGTATAGACATTTATTCATGATAAATATAGATATTTGATCAAGAAGCAAAAGGGAAAGGAAAATTTATATTCCCAAAGAAAGAATTGGTATACAGTCTTTTGGGGCTCCTCATGTAAAGAGGATTCAGAGCAGGATGTTTTAAAAAAGATAATCTTCTGAAAATGAATGTACCAAAGAATAAGCTGATGTTTTAAGTTTGCTAAGTGTATAGTTATTTTATACAAAGACTGTTGTTCTCAGAACCTTTAGTACTTACTGGAAGAAGGCAACCAGCTCAGAAAGCAATGTTGAGTAACAAGCTTTAAGAAATAACAATAGTAGCAATTATTGTAAAACCATTTGAACTGAAAGGTGGAGTTGTGATTATTAACCTCTTGTGGTTTACAAAATGATTTGTCGTGACCATTTTGTGTCGACTATCATGAATTTAACAGCATACCTTTTACATGTGAAGAGTTACAGAATTACAGACGTAGCAAAATTGTTCCTGTGAAGGTGCTTTACTAATTGTTGTTTGTTTTCTAATTTGATTACTATAAAACCATTTATAAGATGCACATTTATTACAGTTTTATAGCTTGAGTAAAGGTTTTATTATTTTATATCTGTTATTTGACCATTTAGAAAAGTTTTCAAAGTAAAATATCCATGAACTCAGGTTATTTTCATAGTATAGTGAAACCTGTGAGAGCCGAAACTCGAAACTCGCAGGGACTGC